TGACTATCATTGATAAAATTCAAAAGGCTATTGAAAATAGGAACTATTCTTGTGGAATATTTCTGGACTTTAGTAAAGCCTTTGATACTGTGCATCATGGAATTCTAATAAATAAGTTAGAAAAGTGTGGTATCAGGGGAATTGCTAATGACTGGTTTGCCTCTTACCTTACTGGTAGGAAACATTTTGCATCCATGAATAATATATCATCTAATCTTAATGACATAAATTGTGATATACCTCAAGGATCTGTTTTGGGGCCTCTTTTATTTCTATTATATATTAATGACTTTTATAAATGCTCGGAATTATTTGATTTTCATCACTTTGCTGATGATTCCAATTTATTCTATGAAAACGAAGATCTATTAGAACTGGAATCGAATATTAATCAAGAGTTGGTCAATATCAATGTCTGGCTGTGTGCTAACAAGTTGTCCCTTAACATCGAAAAATCAAATTTTGTTATTTTTCATCCTCATCAAAAGAAAATTGAAATAGATGTAAGTCTTAGTATTAATGGCAGATATCTCAAAAAAGTTGATTATATAAAATATCTAGGAGTTTTTATTGATTCCCACCTATCCTGGAAATATCAGGTGGATCATATTGCAAAAAAGATCAAAAGAGGAATTGGCATTCTTCCTAAACTTAGACATTTTCTAAATATTAAGATTTTAGTTAATCTGTATTATGCAATAATATACCCATTTTTTATCTATGCATTGATAATTTGGGGTAACACATATTCAACCACACTTAAACCACAAGCCATGCGTGTTATCACCTTTTCTCGCTTTGATGAACACTCAAGTCCTCTTTTTAAGCGCCTCCAAATCTTAAAGTTCACCCATCTCATTACATTACGTATGACCATGTTTATGTACAAATATCATCGACAACTTTTGCCCTCGAGTTTAAATGACCTCTTTACTCCTGTCTATCAAATACATTCATATAATACTAGACTTTCATCAAATCTTTGTTTTTCGTTGCCGAAAATAAGAACAAATTTTGGATTATTTAATATTAGATATCAGGGAGTGAAAGCATGGAATGTGCTGAGTGAAGCTGATAAACAGATGACATTTTTACAACTTAAGAGAAAAATTAAAGCTGCTTTTATTAATCAATATTAATTTTTTCTTTATTCCAAAAAATGATTGTCTTTTCTTTACATTTTTCATTTTTATTTATGCTTTAAAAAATCGTAATTATTGTGAGATCAATCTTACAATTATTGATTAATTGTGCTACTTGTCCCCCAGTCTTTTAGCCTTATGGTTATTTTGGGGTGTCAGCTCCTTTATTTTAATTAAATAAATAAGTAACATTAATAGTAAAAAAGGAATAATGTAAAACAAAAATGTAATTGTGTGTTTATTACGGAGCAATAAATTGTCTTGTCTTGTCTTGTCTTGTCAGCAACTGAATATCATCCGAAATGACTGTTCCATTGGCTATGATCATTTACCAATTAAATATTTAAGGCTGGCTTCGCAACACATTCTTTCTCCATTGACCCATATTGTAAACGCTCTCATCGCAGAAAACAGATTTCCGGCCTCATGGAAAGTAGCGCGTATAAGTCCGATCCCAAAAAATAACAATCCTGCAAACAATAGTGATTTTAGGCCAGTATCGGTGTGGCCAATTCTATCCAAAATATATCAACGTTTAGTGTTGTCCCAACTGGTTCAATGTATTGACCAGAATACGTTACATAAAGAAACTACGTGTGGGTTTCGAAAAGGGCACTCAACCGCTGTGATTTTACTTAAGTTCAAATATGACATCTTGAACGCTATGAAGAAGGGCGAAATAACACTAGCAGTATTCACCGACTATTCGTAAGCTTTCGATACGGTAGATTTGCGGATTCTGTTAAAGAAGTTATATGATCTTGGGTTTCCAAGGGATTTTTTGCTTTGGATTCACAGTTACTTAGACGGTAGAAAGAAATTTGTCCAGATTGATGATCGTAAATCTGGATTGCTACCGGTATCATTTGGTGTTCCCCAGGGATCGATATTGGGTCCAGTTCTTTTTAACCTGTCCATGGCTGACTTACAGTCCAATGGACATTTGAGTTGTCCATTGGATCCAATGGACAGTCATATATCCAATGGACATTTCATATGTCCATTGGACATTTGCGTTAGTATTGGACATGTATGCGAATTTACTGACCTAAACAAAGAGTTAACCTGCGAATTCACCGACCTAAACACAGAGTTAAAATCTCAGATAATACTCGGTTGTGTCTTATACCGACTAAGACGACGGGCCCTACGTGAGTCAACGCTTACTCTTGATCAACTGCTCAGTCATGGTCGAGCAATGGAAACTGCAGAAAAAACAAGCGACAAACATTGAACAAACGCACGACGATTCCCATGAAATTAATCGCACTCAACGACAACAACAGTTTCAACAGCGTTTATATCAACAAAGCCCTCGCCAAACGAATTGCTCACGAAAATGCTTCAATTGTGGAAACAATTATCCTAATTTAGATGAAATATGCCCGGCAAAAGGGAAAGCCTGTAGATTGTGTCAGAAAATGAACCACTTCGCTCGTTATTGCCGGTCTACAAATCGAAATATTAAACCCGATGATAGTGTCAATCATGTCAAAGCCGGAAATACTACGCAGCGGCAACAACACGATACTACAAGCGCAAATAAAATCGAGCAGAGCAACCAACACCCGGTAGATTCGAGTTCTGACGATGAATACATATTTTCGCTTGGAAATATAAAAACACATGCAATTAAATTCAAAGTTAAAAGCCCCAAATTTCACGTAAAAATCAGAAGCATGCCAACAGAAATTATGATCGACACCAGTGCAAGTGTTCACATTATTGACGAACACACCCTTTGACGAATACAAAAATATTCATGCAAGACAAATCAGCACCCCATTACTTTATGTAAGACAAACACAAAGGTATATGGATACGGCGCGAAAACACCTCTGGCTATCGTTGGAAAATTTGACGTCGAAATAGAATCGTCGACTCGTATTGTTGTGACGACAATATATGTAATGCAAAGGGCATGTGGTTTGTTGCTTAGCTTCGAGACAGCCTTAGCCTTAAACCTTATCAAGTTAACTATTAATGTCACAGAAAATCAACAACCGGAAGTTCAAGAAGAAAACAAACTGAAACAATTACTAGACAAATACAATGAAAGATATCATGGAGTTGAAGACTGTCAAGTTCATCTTCATATCAATGAAACTGTTACACCTAGTGGCCAACCACACCGAAGAATCCCGTTTCATCTTCGAAAGGGACTTGAACAAGAATTAATACGATTAGAACATGAAGCCATAATAGAAAACGTACATGGTCCAACCCCATGGGTGTCTCCACTAGTTGTGGTACCCAAACCAAAAAATCCAGAAAAGGTGCCCCTCTGTGTTGACATGCGCGTTGCCAACAAAGCGATAGAGAGAGAACGACACATCACACCCACTATCGATGACCTTATTAAAGACTTAAATGTAGCAACTGTTTTCTCCAAGCTTGATCTAAACCAAGGCTATCACCAGCTAGAACTTGCACCTGAATCACGGTACATAACAACATTTTCTGCACACATATTTTCCCGCCAAAAATTGTTTTTGATGGACGCAATGCGTCCATAAAAACAATTTCTGGCGGTGAAATATATTCGCGTGCAATCAAACAACGTGCGCAATCATGCACGCGCAAGCAAACAAAACCAAACCGTCAAATTTAGTTAACAGAACTTTAGTTGTCCGAAGATTGTCTGTAAACTCAGGCATGAAACTCTGAGTAACAACGTTTGTTTTGTACTTTATTTCATAAATAATTAAATATATTTAGCTCTACAATAAAGTATTGAGCACTCTATATTATATCAAGAAGACTTGAATTGTTATATATATATATATATATATATATATATATATATATATATATATATATATATATATATATATATATATATATATATATATATATATATATATATATATATATATATATATAATGCACATTGTACTATTACGGTGGAGTGAATTGGGTGTCCATTAGCAATAATGCATGCAAAGCTCACTTCCCTCGTGGTTGTTTGAGCACTCTGGCCCCATGTCACTCTGCGCATGTCTGGATGCGTTAATGGCTCGTGTTGTACCACATGCGCTTGGGAGAGCAAGTGTCATGTATATCAATACGAAGGTCATTGCGTGTCTAGATGTGTACCAAGCTGCACTGATGAGGCGTAGGACGCCGAAACATGCATGTCTGCAGATTGTACTATTACGCTCCTTCACTTCGGTGTTGTAGAGCACTCTGTGGAGTTAATTGGGTGTCCATTAGCAATAATGCAAAGCTCACTTCCCTCGTGGTTGTTTGAGCACTCTGGCCCCATGTCACTCTGCGCATGTCTAGATGCGTTGATGGCTCGTGTTGTACCACATTCGCTTGGGAGAGCAAGTGTCATGTATATCAATACGAAGGTCATTGCGTGTCTAGATGTGTACCAAGCTGCACTGATGAGGCGTAGGACGCCGAAACATGCATGTCTGCAGATTGTACTATATATATATATATATATATATATATATATATATATATATATATATATATATATATATATATATATATATATATATATATGTATATATATATATATATATATATATATATATAATATTCAATATTGAATTTGTGCGTAGTGTACTAGTGTGCTCAACACCAATAAATCAGTAGAGCAAATAAAAAGACAAAAACAACAAATTTCAATCTTAAAATTTTATTTCATCGCTACACAGTGTTTCACGTACAGCGTACGATCATCAGGCGATTGATGTTAATTATCTCGCAATAAATTACAACGGTTTACGCTGACGCGCTTAGATTGCTGACGCAAGCATTTAAATGATTGTGTTTACTTGCGCGCGCGCGTTTGAAATTAGAAGCTTTATAACTGTTCCTATGCCTACATTTGCTAAACAATTCAGATCTTATATTCAATGTATTATTTTTGTCCGATAACATAATCAT